AGTTAGGTGCTGCGCGAGGTGACCGAGGATGTGACTTCCTTGGCCGGCGGTGACCCGCGGACGATGCTCGCCCTCCTGGGCGCGACGACCCTGGTGCTGGTCGCTGCGGTGCGATGGATGTTGCCCGCAGCCGCAGGTGAGAGACGAGGGGGCCCGGCGCAGGTCCGGGGGGGGCGAGAGGCTGGGCTGTGGGGGCGTTGGAAGCCTTGGCCCCGGGAGGCGGGTGGAAGGGGCTGGCGCGTTGTCCCGGAGACCTCTGCTTGTCCGGGGTCACAGCGCTCAGATTGAAAATCGGGAGGAAGTGGTGTTCCAAGGATCCTTGCACGCCTCTTGCTTGGGGGCCCGCGTACCGGTCCCCGAGCGGGACACGCCCTCTCCGCCGGCTCTGTGGGCTTCCACCGCCGCGGCGCTGGGTGAGCGAGAGCCTTCCTGTCGACTTTGTTTCTCTTCGAAAAATCGGGGAGCCGGGCTGGACCCTTAAGTAATAAACAAGGCTTTAGCGGCGAATTGTGTTGCTGTTCCTGAAACATTGTCTCAGTTTAGGGAAGCAGTTATTCAGCCCCACGTGGGAGGGGGGATAAGGATTGCAAGAATTTCGCTGCCCTCGGGATTCGGACAGTCTAATAAAAAGTAATAATAAATGAAAAATACGCAACCAAAATAGAGAGGCTGCGACCACGAGGCTAGTTTGCTGCCTTTATTAATACTTAACTGGGACGCATCAGGAGAATGGCAACTATTATAAGGTTGACTTCGGAGTGAGGAAGGGTACCCAAAGAGAAGGAGGGACTAGCACCGAAGGGCAGGAATCCAAGGGGTCAGTGAGGCCGCTTAGTAGGTTCAAAATCCTTAAACTGTTTGCTTAGAAAACCATACCCCCATATGGTACAATGGTATCCTATTTCTCAAACTCTTCCATGAATATAGTATATATAGAATATGGGTACTATGGTCCTGGTATGACCCGTGGTCATTTCTTTGAAGTCTTTTGTTTTTGAAATTTTTGTATTCAGCTCATTGTGCTTTGATGTAAAAAGAACTTCCCCAGAATTTTCGCATAAAAGTAGCATTCCAAGAGGATGTACCTTAAGATCCTTATTTTAATCTAAATTAGGGGAGGGCTGCTAAAATAAACTATACACAGCTAGCATTTATTGTACTCTTAGCTATGTGTCAGGCAATTCTCTAGGTGTTTTAAAGGTATAAACTCATTTAGGTTTCAGTAGAAAGCTACACACTATTATCCTCTTTTTACAGAAGAGCAAACTGAGACACTGAGTAGCTTGCCTCAGGCCCTGCAGCTAGCCAGTGGCTGAATGGGAAATTAAACCCTGGGAATCAGCGGCAGAGCCCTGGGCTTAAGAGTAGTCTGTTTTCCTAAAGGTTAAACAATTTAAATTCTCAGTTATCCATTGATATTTGTTAAGTGCCTAGTTACCTTTCAATTAACTAATGTACTTTTTTCCTCAAAGGAACGGTAAAATGTTCAAAACTAAATTAAATGTTAACCCAAACTAGAGATCCTAATGTTGCTGTCTTTCCAAGTCATAAAAATATTCATACTTTTAAACCTAGTAAATGTAGTCCTGGGACCCTAGCTTAAGAAAATTATCCGAAATGTGGGAGGAAATTTATGTTTATATGGACGTATATATTTGGATTTATGTCAGACTTAAAAAGGTAGTAAATCGTTTCTGATCATCCATTAGGAATGTGAAAGGTTGGAAGCAACCAATTGTGTAAGTAGAAGTAGGGGATTAAGTGGCCATTTATAGATCTTACATGCTACAAAAGTGAAATAGACTGTTTTCAAAAGGATATTGCTAATACGAATAGAGCGAAATCTGTGAAATTGAAAATGCTTATTTTCTCTGAGACTTCATCGCAAAGGAGAATACTTTCCTTATTCCACTCCTCTAAACGTAATTTTCATCCCATTTGTTGTGATTTTATAGATTGTATGCAGCCAAAGGGGAGTGACTGGGTTTACAGGAATCAACAAAAGATCTGATAGCATTTGTAGTCTCTGGTCTAGACTAGTCTAATTCCACTAACTCGGGACCTTCTCCCTGTCTCAAACTTGAGCTGAGTATTGGAATATTTGGGTAATCACAGAGGAAGAAAAACACAGGTTGGAGGGACCAAAAGGGAAAAATAAGAAGAGAGGACATCCAACTCAGGGAAGATTCCTCCTAGATGTGTAAGAAATAATAGATCTCTAGACAGAAGTCCTTAAAAATAAACAGATGGGTTCAGGCTTGATATGAACACCTTTCTGAGTTCCTGTAGGGCTTGGCTGACATGATAAACATTCATAGCTCTGTCTCTTGATTTTTGTCATGTGAATATTTGGTTTCTGTAACTAAGCTGTTAACTTTGAAATCACAGCTGTTCCATTCTCTGTCAGAATAGATGAAGCATAAATATAGGATGTGAAACCAAACTGAGGCCATTAAACAGTTGAACCTTGTATCCTTTACATGTCTTCTAAGATCACAGAAAGTTTTTATACAGAGACTATTTTTTCTTTTCTTTTCTTTTCTTTTTTTTTAATCTTAATTGCTAAAAAATGCCAGCTGTCATCTGAGCTTTCAGCAAGTTGTAATCTTTTTGCTGGTGGACGGTCTTTTTTTTTTTTTCTCCTCATCATGATGAGTGTAGTCTTTAATCCCCTTTACCCATTTCCCCCATCTCCCCCTACCCCTCTGGTGACCGTCAGTTTGACTGACAGTTAAGAGTCTGTTTCTTGGTTTGCCTTTCTCTTTTTTTTTCCTTTGCTCATTTGTTTTCTTTCTTAAATTCCACATATAAGTAAGATCATATGGCATTTGTCTTTCTCTGACTGACTTATTTCACTTAGCATGATACTTTCCAGTTCCATCCATGTTGTTGCAAATGGCAAGATTTCATTCTTTTTTATGGCTGAATAATATTCCTCTGTGTGTGTGTGTGTGTGTGTGCGTGTGTGTGTATCACATCTTCTTTATCCATTCATCAGTCAATGGACACTTGGGCTGCTTCCATATCTTGGCTATTGTAAATAATGCTGCTATAAACATAGGGGGTGCATGTATCCCTTTGAATTAGTATTTTTGTATTTTTTGGGTAAAGAGACTTTCAATTAAAAGATCAATGCTGATTTTCTTTATTTTTTCCAGCTTTACTGAGATATATATGACATATAAGGCTTACTTTTTATGGATTAAAAAACCTCGACCTTTTTCTAGCTCTCTCAAATGCAGAGATTAAATAAATAATTAGCCTCCCTGTGCTGAGAGCAATGATTAGGTTTTTTTAGATTTCTGTATATACTTTGTTATATTTGAATGTATTCATTCTTTAATCAGTGACGTGAAAGGAAGAATAACATTTTTAAGACTATCTACAGCGTATATGTAACTGTCTTCTTTCTTGTTGCCTTGATTTCTAGGAGGAACAAATCTAAAATCTCCTCAAAATGTAGAGGTCTACATCGTTGATGATACCTTTATCCTGAGGTGGAACAGGAGCGATCCGTCTGTCAAGAATGTGACTTTTTCAGCAGATTATCAAACGTATGCAACTCTATTGATTGATTTACAAGAATCACCTGAATAAGTTTGAAAATTGTAACCCCATCATTTATTTCTCAGATTTGAGAACCAATTGGTTTTCCATCTTTTAGAGAAATTTTATGTCTACGTAATATTTATAACTTCATATCTACAAATAGAGACTTAGTCCAATTCGTCTTGGGGTGTTGCAGCAAAAGAGTTTTGGGGGATGAAGATGGCAGACAGCTTCTGTAGACCACAGCCATACCTTCTCTCTTCTAGATGCGTCACCTTCTTTGAGTATATCCCTAGCCCTAACTTTCTACCTCATAGCTGCCAAGAGGATGGGCAGGTGGGGAGTTGCAGAAGAAAGATTCTGGAAGGAACGTAGCTCAGGGAGTACAGCACTTTGCTTTGGGTGTCAGGGTCCTGTGTGCTAACTATGATCCCTGTCTAAGAAAGAGTGGCTGGTAATTGGCCAGTGAAGAAACAGGGTGTAGGACCCCCAGAACCAGGATCTCCCCACTTCAACCACAACCAGCACTCAGTTCTCCAGTTGATTGTTAATAGAGCTGTGAGATTCATTTACTCATTTACTCATTACTCATTTTCTGTGAGATTCATTTACTTTAGTCATTCACGCGTGTGCGCGTGTGTATGTATGTGTACGAATATGTGTGCACATACACAAACTTGTATACATACATCGATGGTTTTTCTTGGAATAATCATTTAAGAATTTTTATTTCTAGAGATTTTCTTTAAATCGAACTTTGAGTTTTGTCCATTTAGTTCTTTGCTTTAGTTCAAAATTTTCTTAATAAATAACTATTTCAGGTATAACAAAGATTGTTTCAGATACTCGTATTTCAAGTTACCCTTTTAGGAGCGCCTGGGTAGCTTAGTTGGTTGGGTGTCTGCCTTCCGCTCAGGTCATGATCCTGGAGTCCTGGGATCGAGCCCCGTGTGGGGCTCCCTGCTCAGTGGGGAGTCTGCTTTTCCCTCTCCCTCTGTGCCCCCCCACCCCAGCTCTTGTTTTCTCTCTCTCTCTCTCTCACATTCTCTCTCTCTATCTCAAATAAATAAATAAATTTTTTTTTTAAAAATAAAGTTACCCTTTTAGCAAAGAAGATAGACAGTGCCCTCATATTGTTCCTTCACACATTCTGTCACTGATACTAAATTCTCCAGTCCATAATAGTCTGCCTTTCATCCTTTCATTCTGACTTTAGCATCAAATGCATTGTTTCAATATGTTCTCGTCCTGCTCTGTTCTACTAGCTTTATAAATAATTGCCTTATAAAGATATGCCAGACTACAAGTTTAGGGAGAGAGTACAGCGACAGTGTAGTGTGGTATGGACTTGAGCCAGGCTGCTTGGGTGCAAAGCCATCCCATGCTATGTATTCTATCGCTGTTTTCTTTCCTGTGAAGTGGTGATAAAAACTAATATATATATATTATATACCATACCATATATAACTTATCATCCAAACCAAAACAGTTTCGAGAGTTAAAAGGGGCAGTTAATTTTAGATAAGCTGGAACAACAAGCTTAAACCAGGACCACCCCAGGCAAACTGGGATGGGACTCCCCCGCCCCCCTCCTACCGTAATAAGGTGTCTAACTTAGAAGGTTGTAGAAGTATAGAACAATGTTTGTTTAAGATTTTATTTATTTATTTGAAAGAGAGAGAGAAGCAGACTCCTTGCTGAGCAGGGAGCCCTACATGGGGCTGGATCCCAGGACCCTGAGATCATGACCTGAGCCGAAGGCACTTAACCCACGGAGCCACCCAGGCACCCCGAAGTATAGAACAATTTTATGTAAAGTGCTCAGTGGATGAAGGAAATGATTAATGGAAGTGTAGTTAATAGCAAAAGCAAACAAGTATTTTTTTAATTAAAAAAAAATTTTTTTGGGACCAAGAGAAAGTGTGAGTAGGGGGAGGGCAGAGGGAGCGGGAGGAAGAGAGAGAGAGAGAGAATATCTCAAGCAGGCTCCATACCCCAGCGCGGAGCCAGACAAGGGACTCGATCTCAGGACCCTGAGATCATGACCTGAGCCAAAATCAAGAGTCGGACGCTTAACCCACTGAGCCACCCAGACACCCCTTAATATAGTGTTTCTCTGAATGTAGGACAGATGCCACTGGTGATAAATGATACACAGACACATAAATAAGCCATTAGGATTCCAGTGTCTGTAGAACACATGCTAAGACATCAGTATTTGTGACCTATATCCAAATTTTATTCTGATGTATGTAGTGTTTAGTATTCATTCTTCCATTCAATAAAGATTGGGTACCTTTTATGCTAAACACTCTTCTGGGTACTTAGAATGTATCAGTGAATAGGAAAGACCAAGATGGCATGTTTCTTATATTATGGCATGGGTTTTATGAAACGGATTTTATATCGGTTACATCATCGTTCTCAAATCGTGTTCTGTTCTGATCTAAATACTTCATATGATAAAGTTGGGTTTGATTGGTGGTGGTTTTTTTTTTTAAGATAATATAAAAACAGCTACCACTGCAGTTTCGAGTGTGCTTCTGCACCTCCTAGAACAGGAAAGATAGAGGGGAAGAGAGAGAGTGGGTTGGAACCATGTCAGGGCTTAGTTTTACAATTTGTATAAGGTTTTCTGTTTATAATAAGAGTTTCTGGATTTTTTAACATAGAGTCTGATGTGGAGGAGTTTCTCAGGGTATCATTAAATGCCAACTCTAGCCTCACAGCTCAGAGAAGTAGAAAGGGAAACTAGCCAGGAATGTAGCTTCCCATATGCCAGTGTATATTTTTGGTAATTTTTTCAAATGTTTCCTTTTTTTGTTTTGTTTTTAATTAATACATATGTATTTTTTGTTTCAGAGGTACAGTCCTTTTTGAAAAATGAGATGGACTTATATTTGGGTCAACACAGAAATGATGTGGCTAGATCATCCCTGGAGTCTGTTATCTTAAAGCATTTTTAAAATGAAGTCTACAATATTATCCCTCCCTCCTCCTCCCCCTTCCCCTCCGAAAAGCAGCTCGTGCTAGAAATTATGAATCAGTCTTTTTTTTTTTTTTTAAAGATTTTATTTATTTATTTGAGAGAAAGAAAGCACATGAGAGGGGGGAGGGTCAGAGGGAGAAGCAGACTCCCCGCCGGGCAGGGAGCCCCATGCGGGACTCGATCCTGGGACTCCAGGATCATGACCTGGGCCAAAGGCAGTGGCTTAACCAACTGAGCCACCCAGGCGCCCCAATTATGAATCAGTCTTGACAGAAATGCCTTCTCAGAGGAGAGTTTCTCTGACTGGTTTAAGGTAGACAGGGCTTCACGTGGGCAAAAAATTTCGAGACCTAACAAGTTTGTTGTCTCTCACCTTCCCGTCAGCCTCCTGGGTAGGCTGGAGTCACATGTGGCAGGATGTCCTTTCTTGATTTCTTCATGTGTTTGAAGAATCGAATATCCATCAGTTCTACTTTTTAATGGACTGAACGAGGAGTTTGTCAGTTTATATTAACATTTTAAGTTTTGTTTCTAGTGATGTAGTAGGAAGAATTACTGCAGCCAGCAAGCAGAAGGGGCCGTTTGGTTTTGACGAGGGCAGAGGAAATTCTCCAACCCTGCTGATTCTGAGATCTTTCTCTGGTCTGGTAAAACTAGTCCAAGAAGTTTAGAAGGGAATCATCAGATCCAGTCACCAAGTTTTCAGTAAGGAAAAGATCCAGAAATACAGAGTAGTTGGCCCAAAGTCACACAACTATTTTTAACAAACCTGAGACTAAGTCCACTCTTTGTACCTTCTAGGTTATTTCTTTCTCTGCTTCTTTGAAATCCTAATGCAGCCTGTCACAAAATTACAGAACTGTATCCAAAAATGAACCTTCGGAATGACTCCATTTTCTAAATAATAACTTGGTGTATATGTGCTGGACACAAGGGCCACGTTGCAACTAAAATGTTAACAGGTTAACTCAAATAGAATAACTACCTAGCCTAGCTTTGTAATAGTTTCTCTTTTTAGTAAACAAACCGTGTTGGACAGTCTTTTGTAGTTATACATTTGCTTATTCGTGCATCTCCTGTTTTGTCTTAAAGACTTAAAAATGATACTTGGGTAAAATTGCCTGGCTGTCAGTCTATCGCCAGTACCAAATGCAACTTTTCTTCAGTCAAGCTCAATGTTTATGAAGAAATTAAATTGCGGATAAGAGCAGAGGAGGACAGCAACACTTCTCCGTGGCATTATGTTGATTCATTCACCCTATTTGAAAAAGGTAAGAAGTTGCCAGCCGAATTACAGGATATTCCTCATGAACTATTCCGATCACAGCTCACTTCCCAAGCCCATTCATGTGCATGGTGTAAAATCTCCCGTTTAAAGAAAAAGGGGGGGCGGGGGGCCTGGGTGGCTCAGTTGGTTAAGTGACTGCCTTTGGCTCAGGTCATGATCTCTGATCTCATGATCTCTGGGATCAAGTCCCACATTGGGTTCCTTGCTCAGCAGGGAGCCTGCTTCTCCCTCTCCCTCTACCTGCTACTCCATCTGCTTGTGCGCTCTTTCTCTCTGTCATATAAATAAATAAAAATTCTTTAAGAAAATAAAGCCCAACTGTTTTCATAATAATTCTAAGACATCTGCCCCTTCCTTTTCATTCTGTCTTGAGTATACACTGGAGTTTTTCAGAGGCTGATGGGTGAGAGGGAGACCGACTGACTGACTGACTTGGCAGAAGCAAGCGGGAGATACATCTGTCTTCTTTGTTTAAGCCGGACATTAACAAAATTGGGACAAGATGTGACACAGCTCCACTCTTCTCGCTATGTCTGTTTTGGGAAATGTAGTTCTTTTTTTTAGAACAAATATTTGTTACAGTGCAATGGGTTTACCACTATTATCTGTTCATGAATTAATACTTGAAAATGTTACCAGTTTAAATGTTTAGTATGCTAAATGTTGAAAGACATGATCCCTATAAACAAAAGCTCTTTCAGACCCTCAGTTTCTTTGAGTGTGAAGGGCTCCTGAGACCAGAACAATTGGGAACCCCGGCCCTCTGTCAGAACTCGCGAGAAGAATGATCTCTGTCCCTCTCTGCGCTTCTCTGCGGCCCTGTGCCTTCAAGCTCCGTTCCTCCTCGCTGCACAGAAAACACTCTTGTCAAGGACTCTGGTGACCTCCTCAATGCCCGAGTTCCCAGCTCTCTTCTGGCTCAGTTCCTGGGTAGCACCAGGGTTACCACTTGAAACCCTTCCACTTCTGGATCTCCAGGGCCCCGCTCCCCACCAGCTCTCCTCCTGCCCATCTGTCCCTCCTTTGCCCCTTTTTCCTGGCCCCCCAGACCCATCAGCGCCAGACTGCTGCGGGGCTGGGTTGTCGGACCTCTTCTCTTTCTACACTCGGTCCACTGGGAATCTTACGGCTTTCAATCCTGTGTGCTCTTGAGAAAAGCCCAGACTTACATCTCCAGTCCCACTCCTTCCCCTTACTTTAAACTGTATCACCAACTCTTCTTTCAACAGGCCTCTCTGCGTGCATGTCTAAGTCATCTGGTCAACCGAAGCTCTTGATTTCCCCCTCAAAACCGGCTTGTCTTGCGGTTTTTTCCATCCCTGCTACGGACAGCACCTGTTTTATTTGCTCAGGCCAAGAGTCTTGGAGTCCTCTTTGGCATCAGTTTTCCTCATGCCCTGCATCCAGTCTGTCAATACTTTCTGAATGGTCCATCTTGAGGGTATATCCTGAAGCGGATCCCTTGTCACATCCACCCCTGTGACCAGCAAGGCTGGTCTCTTGAGCTACTGCAGTAGCTTCTTCCTGGCCTCCCTGCTTCCTCGTGCCTGAACTAAGGTGATCTTTCCAAAACGTAAATCACAGCATGGCACTCCTCGGATCTCAGCCCTCCAGCAATGTGCCGAAGCTAACTACAGAGCTCTTCCTTTGTTATCTGGCTTCTAGCTGCTTCTCGGAGCTACTGGAGCCTCCTTATTATCTCTTGAAAATGTGAAGCGCATTCCCACCTTGCCGGAATACTCTTTCCCTAGATAATTTGCCTGACTGACTCCCTCACGTTATTCAGGCCTCAGCTCAAATGTCGCAGGGAGGCTTTTCCTGACTAACTTATCTGAAACAGATCTTGCCACCATCCTCTCTCCCTCTGTGTTATTTCATTTTTCCTCACAGCACACACGACATTGTATGTATTTGTCTATTTGGGGTTTATGGCCATATCCCCCACTAAAATATAAGCGCCGCGAAGGACATTCTCTGTGTTACTATGCCAGGCATATAGGAAGTGCTCAGAATTATTTGCTGAATGAATGTTTCGACCCTGTATTAATGAAGTTATATAGTAAATGTGTTCATTTTTTTACAGCTCAAATTGGTCCCCCAAAAGTACATTTAGAAGCTGAAGATAAGGCAATAATAATAAACATCTCCCCACCTGGAACAAAAGATCATGGCATGTGGGCTCTGGATAGCTCAAGCTTCACCTACAGCTTAGATATCTGGAAAAACTCTTCAAGTGGAGAAGTAAGCATTCTTCTTACCTTTGTTCAAAGTGAGAGAAAAAGGACATGAATTTGTCCTAAAGTTTGACCTTATATTTTTTTAAAGAGCAGACTTCTGTTTTTCTTTTATTATAGAGAAGGACTAAAACTGTTTACCCCAGAGATAAAATTTATAAACTCTCACCAGAGACCACTTATTGCTTAAAAGTTAAAGCAAGACTTCTGCCGAGAAAAACTGGTGTCTATAGTCCCGTGTATTGTATAAAGACCACAGGTAAGGAGAAAGTTATGCTTTAGATTCAGTAACTTTATATACAGATGGGCACTCTATTAATTCTGGCAGTTTTCCTCTTGGTTGCTGAAGTTTATATATCTTAGTAGATATTAAAACAAAAATATTAGCATTTACATAAGCAAAAAAAAAAAAGTCACAGTAATTGGGATTTTTGTCTCAAGTAAGCAGTAATGAAAGTTCTGTCTAAAAGTCTAAGTATTTTCTAATGACAAAAACTACTTTTATTTGCTCAGAATCCACAAAAGGGGGAAAGCAGTTGCTAGAGGAACAGTTAGTCTTCCGAAAAGTACACCTTTATAAAAAGTGTCAAATGTTAAAATGTGAAAGCATCCTGATAAATTTTGTCAGTGACCTCTTGCCAATAATTAAGGTCAGAGGTTAGGAGCTTAGATTTGTTTGTTATTTTAATCATAAATTTAATATGCTTTGTTTTTAAAATTAAACATACAGGAGAATTTATTTATTTATTTATTT